TGTGCTTACTGGCTTACGGCGCCTGGAACCGCTTCTTGCGCAGCCATTCACTGCTGAGCGCACGGCAGTACTGTGTTCGTGTGCTAGCCAGTGCCATCCTGCTTCTTATTGTGAAGTACAAGCAAGATGGAGAGTAGCTTTACACCAGTCCTTAAAAGTTTTGTTTATTATGGTGTCCATGGTATCCTTTTTTAATCAAAGTCCCGGTTTCTCTCCATATTACGTTGTCTGCCTTTACCATGGTTTCAGCTCCAAAAATTTGTCGTTTTTTTTTTAGAGGGACTTTTCCTTTAGTGCTTCATAACTGTCATACACTAAAGCATCTGTATGGTCAAGTATGCTACGTGAATTACATTCTAAAATTTCTAAACGCTCAACCTTTTTCATAAACTAATTTGGTGATGTACTGCTGTCTTGCTTTAGTTCTTTGCAGTTGGAGACAGGTCTTACAATGTTGATGCTGTTTTATCTGCATTAGGTGGCTGCCCTCCAGGATGAAAAAAACAGCTTGATGTCAGAAAATGAGATTATGAATGACAGGCTAGATCAATTAGATGACTCTCTTGATGATCCAAATACTGTGGTTGCGAAAAAGTATTTTCATGCACAGTTGCAGCTGGAGCAACTGCAAGAAGAAAACTTCAGGTATGAAATGATTTCTCTCAAAAATCCCTCTCTAGTTATGTCAGATATATACTGCGAATTTCTGGTGCTCTCAGGATTTTCCATCTCAGCTCATTTTTCTATAAAAGATTTCTATACGAATATGCATAAACAATTGGAAAGACAGCCCTTACCTTTAAAAAGTAAAAGAAACTGTTACTTGTTGTAGAAAATATTGTAATTGTGATATTGTAGTCATTTGACACTTCAAAAAAGGTGATGGAAAGTAGAAGATGAGTGCCAAGACTACCATATCTCTTTACTGTATTGATTTCTTTTACATATTAGTCTTGATCCCTGTGGGGGAAAAAAAAACCCACTTTGCATTTGATCCCTTGATATTGATATAGTAAATTTGTAGTATTCAATCCATTATGATTTACCAAAATGTTCCATCGTTACAGTACTACTTTTCTGGCTACTTAAATCAATAGGTTTCCTTTGTCTTGTATGTTTGTGATAGTTCTAGCACTAACTGAAAAATTTATAGTAACGGTGAGTTTATTAATGAAGTTCCTGGTTTTGATCTAATAGGCTTGAAGCTGCAAAAGATGATTATCGTGTTCATTGTGAAGACCTGGAAAAACAACTGATTGAACTGCAACATAGAAACAATGAGCTAACCTCTTTGGCAGAAGAATCTAGAGCCTTGAAAGATGAAAATGATATTCTTAGGTATGTAATAGAGAAAACTCCCCGCACACATATTAGCAGGATTTAATGATTAAATCCAAGGCTTTGTATTTAACAAGATTTTATTTTTTTTTCGAGGCTTTATTTCTGCAGATAGATCTTATCTGAAGGAGTCTAAAATAAAAGTTTGAAAAGGTGAAAAGAGGCCTTTGACTAAGCAAAGATGGAAACTTTCAGGCATAGATTCTGTTGCATGTATAAGAATAGTAACATGAAATTTTTCTGTGCAGCTGGATTAATTGATACAGAAATTATTCTTCTTCACGTGGGATGAAAAGTGAAGTTCTGCAAGAATTATGGTGGTATTTGCATTGTTATTAAGGGACATTTGTGTTGCCAAGAGGCTGCCATTTCTGATGTGGAAAAGCATACATGTAGCTAGAACTTCGACATAACTTTTGGTGTCAGCATTCTAGGCTAGACTTAGATTAGTAACAGATAAACAGAAGGAAGATGAAATACACAATAACCTTGATAAGAACAGAATTCCATTTTTGGTAAACCACATTAAATACCAGACCACACAAGACATATCCAAAGCAAATTATATTGCAGAAGCAGGTCTGCTATTCATCAAATAGTATGACTAAAACATGGAAAGAAAACTGGTTTCAGGTGTTTAACTTTATAGTGGTTCTTAAATAACATCTGAAACAAATCTTAACTATATATTTTCTTCCATAATTTTCTTGTATTAGATCGTAGTGAAGCGAGATGGCAGATATTAAAACTAATTTCTGTATTTATGATCCAAATATTTTCTTACCACATAGATTTTTGTTAATGATCTGCTGGTAATTCTTGGTCGTACCTGCTAATGATCATTTTCATAGCGTGGTTATGTTCTAACTATGTATAATTAGGTCTAACCCTGCAATGAGAATGTCTGTGTGTTTTTCCTTATCAGTACTTGGAGATGACTGTCTGTCACAAGATGTTGTATTGCATTTATATTGCACCTCACAGAATTCCCTAGAGATGTTTGACATAATAACCCTTGCTTGTACTTCTGGCATACGAATGTCAGTCTCACTTCCACTTAACCTTGTGCTGATTTCAATTTTCATAAGCAGTCCTTGCATAATTCAAGTTTGCATTGATTATGCATTAAAAAATAAAACAGTAAGATTTAACTCTGCTGTTAAGCACATTGCATCTCCCTTTGAAAATGGCTTGAATGTGTATGAATGCAGAATTCGGCTTTTTTAATATTTTAAAGAAACAGACTCTTCTCATTCCTGTTTATACTTGAAGGGCTACTGCAGACAAGGCAAGTAAGCTGGAATCAACTGTTGAAGTGTATCGTAAAAAGCTCCAGGATCTCAATGACTTCCGCAGACAAGTCAAGTCTCTGCAAGAAACCAACATGATGTATATGCACAACACAGTCAGTCTGGAGGATGAACTGAAGAAAGCCAACGCAGCACGTGCCCAACTGGAAACCTACAAAAGACAGGTAAGGCTGCATCCATATGCAAAATGTTACTTTTTGTTCAGATAGTTGTCTTAGTAAAATAACAACATGATGTATATGCACAACACAGTCAGTCTGGAGGATGAACTGAAGAAAGCCAACGCAGCACGTGCCCAACTGGAAACCTACAAAAGACAGGTAAGGCTGCATCCATATGCAAAATGTTACTTTTTGTTCAGATAGTTGTCTTAATAAAAATAAAATTATTTAGCTATGTTTTAATGAAAAAATAAACGAACAGCTTAATTTAACAGCCCCTGGACTTAACCTGTATCATCCCCTTAGAATTTCCTATTTGTGAAAACTCCTCTGCCATTCCCTTTCTTTTTTTCTCTGTTTATTAAATTAGCAGGTTTAACTGCCCCCTCAACTGTTTGGCGGCCCTTGCTTTGTGGGCTTTTCCTCTTTACTATAACTGAGGTAATTTGTGTGCCTGGGAGAGGTTGTTCAGCTACTACTGAGGTCACTTGTCTGTCATATTCTTAACTTTCTTCGTGGAAATTTACTTAAAACTGTAGAAATGTTAATTCAATTTCACTTATTTCAGTAGTAATTAAGTGATGCAGGAGTTAAATATCTTAAAAAAAACGACCAAACACAAACCCCACAAAAACCCACCAAAAAACAAAACCCAAAAAGCTAAACAAAACCAAATTAAAAAAAACCAACCAACCAAAAAGCAACAACCAAAAACCACCCTAAACACAGATACCTCCATCCCATCTTCCCTCCCCCAAGCTTGGAGGACTACCTGTTTGTTTTGGCTGAACTGGGCAGGAGTAAAGGTTTTTAACGTAGCTTGTAAAGGTAACATCTTGCAACATGCATGTGCTGAATACAGTATTTTTATAAAAAGGTCCAGGAGCTGCATAACAAACTGTCTGAAGAATCAAAAAGAGCTGATAAGCTAGCATTTGAAATGAAGAGACTTGAAGAAAAACATGATGCTTTAATCAAAGAAAAAGAGGTAAGTCTCTTGAATGAGTAACCAAACACAAAAAAAACCCACAAAAAAACACCAAAAAACAAAACCCAAAAAGCTGAACAAAACCAAATTAAAAAACCAAAACAAACAAACAAAAAGCAACAACCAAAAACCACCCTAAACACAGATACCTCCATCCCATCTTCCCTCCCCCAAGCTTGGAGGACTAGCTGTTTATTTTGGCTGAACTAGGCAGGAGTGAAGGTTTTTAACGTAGCCTGTAAAGGTAGCATCTTGCAACATGCATGTGCTGAATACAGTATTTTTATAAAAAGGTCCAGGAGCTGCATAACAAACTGTCTGAAGAATCAAAAAGAGCTGATAAGCTGGCATTTGAAATGAAGAGACTTGAAGAAAAGCATGACGCTTTAATCAAAGAAAAAGAGGTAAGAATGAGAGTTTATCTGAACATCTAATAAATGTCCCTCAAATGCTCTGTTTCAGGAAAAACTACTCAGAAATAGCCATAAAAATTAAGTTTAGCACCTTGTACGTGTGTGTATGAATGCACATACAAAACATAAAATATATGTTAAAATGTGTATGTGTCAGTACTAGTCCTAATAAATGTTATTTGGTCTTAAAGTGAAGCTGTATGACTTAATTCCACCTCAAATATGTCTTCTCAGAGACTGATAGTACAGTGTGATGCATTAAAAGAGACAAATGAAGAGCTCCGGTATTCACAGATGCAGCAGGATCACCTGAGTCAAACAGGTATTGCTTTCTCTTCAGAGGCTTTTTATGTATATTAGTGATTTATTTAAGTTTGTTAAATCAAATTTCCCATGCAATTTCAGGCGCATCTCGTGTTAAAAGCCATGAGAATCTTGCTGCTGAAATTCTGCCAGTGGAATATAGGTAAGGCGAAAAGGTTGAGGTGGTTTTGGGACTTTCATGGGTTGGGAATTACAGTGTTCCCATAAAAGTTCAGTATTTTTGGCAACACGACTCTCTATCCCATGTCTTGTTTTCCCTCCTTGATGCTTTTCTGAACCCTCATGTAGCTGTTAATTATTTCTCCATACGCACCTTGTAAGTGTATGTATGAATGCACATACAAAACATAAAATATATGTCAAAATGTGTATGTGTCAGTACTAGTCCTAATTAATGTTATTTGGTCTTAAAGTGATGCTGTATGACTTAATTCCACCTCAAATATGTCTTCTCAGAGACTGATAGTACAGTGTGATGCATTAAAAGAGACAAATGAAGAGCTCCGGTATTCACAGATGCAGCAGGATCACCTGAGTCAAACAGGTATTGCTTTCTCTTCAGAGGCTTTTTATGTATATTAGTGATTTATTTAAGTTTGTTAAATCAAATTTCCCATGCAATTTCAGGCGCATCTCGTGTTAAAAGCCATGAGAATCTTGCTGCTGAAATTCTGCCAGTGGAATATAGGTAAGGCGAAAAGGTTGAGGTGGTTTTGGGACTTTCATGGGTTGGGAATTACAGTGTTCCCATAAAAGTTCAGTATTTTTAGCAACGTGACTCTCTATCCCATGTCTTGCTTTCCCTCCTTGATGCTTGTCTGAACCCTCATGGAGCTGTTAATAATTATTTCTCCATATTATAATTACTTTGCATTTTTTCCTGAAAGTATTACAGATTGTTGTATATATAGTTTGGCTTGAAACATGCTTTTTAAAGGAGCAAAACAACTCTTAGCTTGCCACTGGCAGACAGAATAAATAAATAATATGCAGCAAGTAAGACATAACAGCTGAAGGCTGGCTAATATTACTTTTAAAGTCTGGCAGACTGAAACATAAAGGCACAACAATCTGGGTTTGAAGTGCCTTAATTTAAAACTTTGTTCACATCTCTTAAGTTGTTGTGGTGCTTAAAATGTAAGTTACCTTTTAATAAAAAATGGCATTGTTACTATATTCTTGAGTAGAACTGGTTTTGCACTGTAAGGTTGGGGAAGTGAACAGTAATATTACCTCCTACTCTTAGTCACCGTTTTCTTAATTAATAGTGATTTTTTCGTTCTTTTTGATTCAGAGAAATGTTTATTCGTCTGCAGCATGAACAATCTGGGTTTGAAGTGCCTTAATTTAAAACTTCGTTCACATCTCTTAAGTTGTATTGGTGCTTAAAACAATGTAAGTTACCTTTTAATAAAAAATGGCATTGTTACTCCAACTATATCCTTGAGTAGAACTGTTTTTGCACTGTAAGGTTGAGGGAGTGAACAGCAATATTACCTCCTACTCTTAGTCACTATTTTCTTAATTAATAGTGACTTTTTCATTCTTTTTGATTCAGAGAGATGTTTATTCGTCTGCAGCATGAGAATAAGATGCTTATGTTACAACAGGAAGGATCAGAGAATGAACGTATTACAGAGCTCCAGGAACAGCTGGAGCAAAAGCATCGGACGGTGAACGAACTAGAAACGGAGAAAAGGTGATGAGTGAAACAGCATTTTAAAATATAGCAAACAGTAATTTCTAGACCTTCAGAGCAGCCTTGTGGCTTGCATCTGTGGCGTAGCACTGTGCGGAAAGCCAATTACCCTTTTTCTTTCCCCAGTGTAATCATTAATGAAGGGTTATGAAGAAACAAGGGGGAAAGTAGCTTAAATATGGTGCTGTAAAATGTGACAGAGCTGTGTGTGCTGTAGTCGGAAAAAAGTGTTGCTTATAGGACACTCTTCTTAGCTCTGAATGATTCTTGATATGGCAAGAGAGGATGTGAACTCTATCTCTAGAACTTCAGACTCATCATGTTGTAACAGTGGGATATGGTCTGAATTTCTCTATCAGTTAATGCTAAACGCAGTTCACCAAGATATGAGAATTTGGAGTAGTTAAGTTTGCTCAAAACTTTAAGTCATTCTAGGTTTTTTATAATAAAAATGTTTAATAAAGCTGTCATGTGTTTGTTTCAGAAGTTCAAACTAAAAGCATTTGAAATCAGTTTCTTTGAAGTTTAAGTCTTGCTGGGTAAACCCTCTGAAACACTGTCATCCAGACTTGAAACAGAAGAATCTGTCTGTTGTGATCTATTTAGATGGGTAATAACTGTCTTTTCTTCCTAAAAGGCTAAATGAGGAGCGTATCGGGGAGTTACAACAGCAGATTGAAGATCTGCAAAAGACTTTACAGGAGCAGGGATCCAAGAACGACGGAGTAAGTGAAAGTTCTTCTTGACCTTGAAGACATCTTGCCAGTTTTCTTTTAAATCCTTCAGTGTAACATCAAGTCATTTTTTCAGATGTGCCTCTACTTCAGTGTGTCTAGTGCTGATAACTACTAAGAAGGCAGAGTTGTGGTTTGGTGTGTGATTTTTTTTTTTTTTTTTTTTCTCTGGTTTATTTAGAGTTTTTTGTTTGTTCATGGGTTTTTGTGGCACTTTTTTCCTTTTGAATTAGTTTCAAACACGCTGGTTTATGCAATAGTAAGAATAAGTGGGCTTTAAAGCCCCTTTGGGTCACTCAACATCTCTCAACCCAAACTCACACCTTCTCCCACCTTTCAAAAGATCCCACGTGCAAAGATCTTAAAACAATTGATGCTCTTCAATGTATTCTAGAAACTTTCTCCTGCTTGTTTATGTAACACAGACTTGGCTCCACTGTATTCAGAGCAGATGAGTTTAGCGTCTATAGTATGAGAGTCCGCAAGACCCCCACACCAACTTCATTTTAGTTGAAAAGCTCATGTTCTGTGTTATTTCTTCCCCCCTGCTTCCTTTATGGAACTTTAGCTCTTCGACTTTCTACTTTGCTTTTAAAAATCTCTAGTTTTATCATTAAATGCTGGTATAGGTAGAACAGTTTTAAAGGAAAAAGATGCTGGAATTGGTATCTGCGATGCAAAAAAAAATTATGAATGCAGGTACTTACAAAAAAAAATTAGGGTTTATTTGGTTTGACTTAGGTGTGTTAAGTATTCTTGGCTGATTTGTAAGAGCACTTTAACATTTCATGGTATCAAATACTGACATATATCTGAATTTTAACTCTTTCAGTCTAGCAACCTGAAGCAGAAGTTGGCAGCACACATGTAAGTAATGCACATGCATCCACGATAGCTTATTTATGCTAAATAATTTGACTGTTGTAGCACAGAAACTACCTAAGTCTTTGTAGGTATGTCTTGTTTTTCTAAGACACTGAATTGACAATCAAACGTGTAGATAGTTAAGTATTAGTGTTCTAGGTTTGTCTACTCTAATCATCGTCATCTCGTAATACTAGTATCCATTTAACTTATCTCTTGATCACCAATAGCATTTTAACTGCTCCGATTCTATAACAAAGTGCTAAAACCATCACTGTTACTGCACTCAAAAATGCATTTCATTTTTCTGAAATATTTCCATCCTTTCAGCAGACGTAGTTCCTGCTAAGGACATTGTTGTTCATTTTCTTACTTGTGTCTAATTTTATGTAAATGACACTCTATTAAAAAGTCACAACTTTTTATGGTTCTTCAAAAATACCTGCTAATACTTCTATTTAAACTCAAAAGAATTGCAAGAGTTTAAAACAGTTGTTTAAACACTTCCACAAGCGAGTTTTGGTTTTCAGCTCTTAAAACTGTGTGTGAAATTATTGGTGAACTCAATCCTTAGCCCAGACTTTCATTCACAGGGAAAAGCTGAATGAAGTTCATGATGAGTTACAGAAGAAAGAGGCTGATCTTGCAGAACTCCAGCCTGATGACAGTCAGAACCGTAAGCTGTTTTGAGTTGGGCTTTTTTAAGTTTCTTCTGAAATGATTCCGATAGCCACTGGGGGGAGGGTGTTTGGTGTTTTTGCTTTGTGGTGGGCAGGGAGAGGTTCATGGGGTCTTAATTTTGTTGAATAGTACTCTACAAAATGGAAACTCAGAATCAGGTGAGACCTTAGGATATAACTGAAATAAAAACAAGAACTGAGGTGATTGTGTAGTAGCTAGAAAGTTTATTTGGGGGTGATTAAATCAAGAGAACACAGAAGCCTTGATAGGACCGTGCCTATTTTTATTTTGTTTATCTATTTCTGTAAACAGCCCAGAAGATTGGAGAGCTGGAAGCAGCTTTGCGGAAAAAAGATGAGGATATGAAAGCAATGGAAGAGAGATATAAAATGTACCTTGAGAAAGCAAGAAATGTAAGCAATATATTTCAGAACATACACATTCTTCCCTCGTAAATTGTTAAACAATGGATTTGAGTCCCCTACCTCCAGCTCCCAGCTAAAATCAGTAGCTATGTGTTGCATTTTTAGTCAGATTGCTCGACTGCAGTCAGTTAAGTATATGAGAGAAAGGGGTTTAGGCTACAGCATGAGATGCATTAAAGATTCCTTTGTATCCTTTGATATCTTCTGTTGTACAGTGGAGCAGCCTAGTTTTCATCATAATTGCCTGACTAATGCTCTGTCTGTTTTCATATTTCTCCTGTGAGCAAATGAGATGCGGAGCTGCTGAGAATCAAACCTGACTTGTAATGCTTTTGTTTTGCCTTGTACAGGTGATAAAAACCTTAGACCCCAAGCTAAATCCCGCATCAGCAGAAATTATGTTGCTCAGAAAACAGTTAATGGAGAAAGACAAAAAAATTGACGCACTAGAGGTAAAAATTTATATATATTTAATAATGACTTCTAATATATTGTGCGGTCTCTTGTATTAGAAGCTCAAGTTACTGTTTCCTAATGATCCAGTACCCTTCAGTCTTCATTCAGTTAGAAACTGCACAGCCCATCAAACCCAGAGGTTTTTAGTTTGGTTTTTTTAACTTTGTATCCGTGTAGAAATCTGTCCCAACAGTTTACTTTTCAACAGTGTTTTTCAATGTACAACAGAAACTGAAACTGTTTGGATTCTTTCTAAACCCTCTGAAAAGCTGTGAGATACCTAACACAGCAAAACTATTAGTCTTATGAAGTAACTTGCACAGAGCTGTGGAGTCTGATTTTTTCAATAGTAACGTAATTTAGTTTGTATGAGGGACTAGGTATTTTGAGCAGTGACTTGTTCAATCAAAAACCCACTTGATACCAGTGGGTTTATGTACTGGAGTTCTTGAAACTATATAGTAGAGTAAAACCTTTGACTTTCAGGTAAAAAAAATTACTAAATTATTTCTAAACTATCTGATACATCCTGGAGTTTCATACATTTCCCCTCTGTACATCCTCAAAGTATGTTTCTAAGCTGAACTGCAATTTTTGTGAAGTATATTCTCTTCCTAAAGTAGTCTATAATTTCTCTCATAGTCATTTATGGGAATATCTTTGTTTACACTTCTTAGACTTCTAGTTATTTTGCATATTTCAGCATTTCTGCTGCATGTGTTTATTTCACTCACCAGAGTGTAAGTTTACGCAGATTATTTTTGTGTTTTAATTGTGTTTTAATTGAGATTTGTCTTCTCTGTTGTCTGTTTGCAGGCTGAATTCAAGCTTGCTAAGTTACGTGATTATGAGGAAAAGCTAATTGTAACTGCATGGTATAACAAGGTGGGTCAAAAGTTTGTTGGTATCTCAGGAATCGGAAAAATACATTTTGCTAAATGAGATGGTTAAATATTTTTATTTCCTTTTTAGATTCACTATGCACTGGTGCTTAGGAGAGAAAACTAATAGTTTAGCTACTTGTGGTGGAAAAAATGAACTTGCAGATTAGCGTGGCCTCATGTCTGAAACCAGAGAACTAAGGAAAGGAGCAAAGCCTGAGGGCTCCAGTTCAAAATGAGATCACTCTTCCACTTGCTAATTCTGACTTCAGGCCAGAATGTAAACTTGAGTGAGATCTAGCTGGAATTTCCAATCCTATTGAGATAATGTCAAGGCTGGTATTTCCCAAGTTTTTGATAGCAGCCTAAAGGGAAAATACCTTAATAGCCAACTATTTTGTGAAATTATTTTGCTCTGTTTTCTGCATGTCTTCTGTGCTTTGGAACAGGAGAATTAAATTTGGCATAGGCCTTGACTTCCATGTTAGTAACCTACTGTTTGCTGCCACAAGCTTCCATCTGGATTTAGTGGGCTAAATTCCTGGATGTTCAATAGAATTTAGCTTGAGACAAAGGGAGACC